CAGGAATGCTAAGTGAAATCAATGTCTTGGGTTTCCAGGCTGAGCTTGGAGGTCACAGCCACTCTATCATTTCTCAGCATTATCCTTTCTCTCTCTCTCTGAGCCTCCAACTGGCACACAGCAGATTGAAAACAGCATGCATCAGAAGGCTCATGCTGCACAATTTTACAGCCTTTTGGAGCCCCCTTCTTTTCTAGTGGCCCACTCTATCCCCCCCCCAGCAGTTCTTTTTGCATGCTTCTGCATAGTGGTAAGCCAAAGTCACTGGAACACCTATAAATAAGAAGCAATTAGAACAGAGCTGATTTTGACAGATACCAGGAGGATGGATGGTTTTGCCGACATTACCAGTCTGATAGGCCTTATAATTTCATGAATGCCATAGTAAATACTGTCCCCCATAAGTTCTCATAAGACATAGCAGTTCTTTTTGCATGCTTCTGCATAGTGGTAAGCCAAAGTCACTGGAACACCTATAAATAAGAAGCAATTAGAACAGAGCTGATTTTGACAGATACCAGGAGGATGGATGGTTTTGCCGACATTACCAGTCTGATAGGCCTTATAATTTCATGAATGCCATAGTAAATACTGTCCCCCATAAGTTCTCATAAGACATTCTGTTTGTGCCAGGTAGGTTCAAAACCGACATCAGGTCTTAAATGTAGTGGAATCTCTTTAACAAATTGTTGTCACATACAGAAAACCCCTGTAAAATTCACAACACTATCTTGTTAACTATACAAACAACTGAAGAAAAGTACATGGCTGGGGAACAACTATCTTTATGATTGACAGCTCTGCACTACATAAAAGAGATGCGGAAAATGTTCCTATGAGGAAAAACTTTGGGAAATCAAAAAATCTGCATTGAGAAGAGGAAAAAATAAATACAGACCTTCAGGTTGATCTGGGTCCTAAGTATTCCTTTCATTTTTTTAAGCATGGATCTCATTGAGCTGACAATGGTATTATTTATTTGTCAGGCTATTTTTAATCTGTACAGCTTCACTGTTAGGCTAAAAATTAAGATGCCACTGTCAATTCAAGGAATCTTTTCTGACTTGATAAAGGAAGTGGACAGCATGCTAGAGGACACCAAAGGAAAGGAAGGACACATTTCATCAACTTTTTCCTGTCACTTAAATGAGGGTGCTTTTTATTCAGTTTCCTTGCTAGTAATTTTACAATAACTAAGGTAGGGAGTGCCACTCCAAAATGTGACCAGTTTCCTTAGGTCACCTGAACAATAAATTGAGCCCATCTTATTTTGGCCAATGAGTTGATCTTTGGTCAGACAGAGCAGCTAAAAGATTAGATAACTCAGAGATACAAGTAACAATAAGTGGAATTTTCAAATTCATGTGACTTAGGAGCATGAATTCTATTTAAAAGTCAATGGGATTTGTGCTTCTAAGTAACTTTTGAAAATCCCAACTGGTATATTTTATTACATATCTCTTATTTATATATATTGCTATCTATATGTGGATAAAAACACACACGGTGGACTTTATTCTACAACCTGAGGTATATTTATACAAGTAGTTTCACTGAAAATCACTGGATAGTTCCATTGAACACAGAACATAATCTGTGGCTCAGGTTTCTTACCATTCAGCTCAGGATGAATAGGAGTTCCTGAATAGGGTTGCCAGGTGTCTGGTTTTCGCTGGACAGTCTGTTTTTTCCAGCCACTGTCCGGTAAAAAAAAACCCAGAAAATACTGGACATGTAAAATGTCTGGTATTTTCTGGTTCTCTAGCGTCTGGCGGGGGGAAGTGGGGAGTGTGTGTATCAGGGCCACGGCTTCCCCCCCCCCCCCCAAGTTTGGTTTCCCAGGGTTTTTTTGGGAGGGTGGAGGGGTCCATGTTTGGGACTTTTGGTGAAAGTATCTGGCAAGCCTATTCCTGAAACACTTTCTATAATACATTAATGCTAACCCAAAAGATGAGGAAGCAATTTTCTTCATGTCCTTATGTACTGTACTGCATTGCATATCTGACTTAAATTGATCAAAGTCACAGATGTTGATTTAGCAACAGAAAAACATTTTGGTATGTTCATTTAATCTAGCTCAGTTTGTCCAGGCAAAGAAGATAGAGGGATTGTGATAGAGGAGCTTGAAAGTCAGGATAAGAATACTCAATTTACCAGACAGAATCGGATTTTGACTATCAGCAACCAAATCCTCAACAAACAAACTGCTGAGAAATTGCAGAATCTCAAGTTAATGTCACTTGGCCAATAGACCAGTGGAGTTTCAATATATTATGCAGATGTGATGTACTCTGTGCCTTTGTCTTTGCTGGAGCCAAATTGCCAAATATAGGCGATGTTTTGAAGATCTGATTATAATTGCTAACTTGGCCTTTGAAGAGACCTACTACTTGGAAGTTACTCTAGACCCCTACTTTATATAAAAAAGATTAAAATCTGTTCTTTGATACACTTGCCACCAATGGAAAGTAAGTCCTGCCACTGGATATGTGCATAGAGTCCCCACTGATTTCTGTGCATGAGCCCCAGGACAAAATTTGGCCCTGGATGGGATGCCACACTGCTATCATCTTTTGTTGCTCTGCCATTTATATGACTAAGCATTAAAGGGAAGGGGGATAGCAGTTGTGTGGAAGGCATGCAGCCCTAGTCTTTTGCATATTACCAAAGGATGGAAGAGAAATAATAATTTGTGGCTCAGGCATTAGATGAGACTCAGAAAAGCTGCATTCAGTTACAGCTGATACTGGCTTCCTCCATGACCTTGGACATATCACTTACTGTCACCATACCTGAATCCCCCATCGTTAAATGAGGATACAAGTACTTCCCCTATTTCATAGAGGCATTGTGAAGATAAATCTGATTCTCACATATCATATTGATAGAGACCACATAAATATTGAGACAGACATGCTCTGGTGCAAATCTGCTCATTTAAAATGGCACAATACCTTGCTTTTGGGTGGAGGACTGTTTGTGCTCTTGTCTGTGTGGATGCTGGTAGGGGATACAGCAGCACCAAGGTTGCCTTGGGGTATGCCAGGTATCTTGCCACCTGGAGATACTTGCATTGCAGCAAGCTGGGCAGCATACAACTGCTGTAAAGAAATCACAGGAGAGAGAGAGAGAGAAAATGAAACATTGCCAATAAACAAATAAAAAAACCTTTCAACAGTTTCTCCTACTGCAGATTCTGTATTTTTTTTCTAGTTGCATACTTTTTTTTAATATAGTACACAGGCATATTACAAGACAGGAGCTGTTACCTCAACTTTTGTGAGTCATTCCTCAGGAGAGCAATGATAGACATCATATGTGAAATGGCCTCCCTTCAGGGCCCATCCAGGGATTCAAAACAAATGACAAATTGTCCAACTTCACATCTTGCCTGAGCCATTTGGTCAACTGTTTTGCTTCCTGAAAAGATGTGACCATAAGAGCATCTCACCTCACCAGTACTAACATTCCACCTGCTTACCATTATCATACTCTTCACTCTGCTAGTACGTTATATGCCTCTTCCTTACTGTATGTGTGGCTTGCCAATTTTGACTGTAAGGTGTTTGGGGTAGCGACTCTTTACTACTTTGTATTTGCCCAGAACCTAACACCATGAGGCCCTATTCTCAGGTTCTCCTCGGGCACTATTGTAATAAACATTAATAACAATAAAGTATTATTTTGCATGATATTACAGTAGCAACTGGGGGGCTCCAATCAAGATTGAGACCTCTTTATGTTAGGTGCAGCAGAAATATATGGTAAGAATAAAAAACAATGTTCTAAATATTAAAGGCCCTGAGCCATCAAGGGACTTAACGACATTTTAACTTTAGACACATAAATGATGTCACTACTCACATGCTTAAAGTTAAGCACTGGCTTAAATGTCTTGCTGGATTGGGGCCAAGAACTGGGAGGAAATAGGTAATCTGGCTATGTATGCAAGTAACCTAAACTCACAAAGAAGAGGAGAAAACAAGCATCATGAGCAAGAAAAGCAGCATGTGATACAACACAGACTGATTCATGTATGGAGGAGAACAAGAATGAAGCCAGATAGAAGTCTAGTTAGCTCAGGGAACCATTGACAGGATAACAATCAGTTCGACATCAAGCCAGACCAGATCCACAGTGACCCAGCCTGGGGTATATGTTCCAAACAGGGACAATATTTAACAGCCCTCAGTGGTACAAAGATACTGCCTCTGGGTATGTACACAAATATCACACTGAGAATAGATGCTCTGTAAAGAATATAAGATAGTGTGGTCAAATGTGCAGATTTCATTGCCATGAATTTAGAATGACTGATATGGCTCCTGCAATAGTAAATACATGAGTGATCTATGAAAATCATCACAAACCTTAATAACTTACCACACTACCATGGTTTTTTTTCCTGTGTGGCTTTTCTGTCTGTACTTGTGCCCAGTCCTGGTTATTTTTTTTAATCTAAGCTATTTTTGTTAATTTAAATTTAATTAATTCTGCCTCAAATCCTTCCTTATTTCCTCTTCTCCTTTTAATATGCTCATTTTTGTTTTTCAGGTTTTTTTATGTCTTCATTTTTTACCTCCACTTAGTTCTCATCTTTTTTCTTTACATCCATCTCTCCCCTTCTTCCTCCACACTCTTTCAATTCTGTGGTACTGCACAATGCAAAATACCTCTCTTCCTCACACACCCATTAATCCATTCAGTCTCCTTGTCATCTTCATCCAATCCCAGCCAACATCAGGCACAGTCACCCCAAAGCACAAAGTCGCCACAAATCACAGCGCTGGATGCAAAATAAATGTCTAAAGAGACAGATAGCCACTCTCGCTCACCCTTTAATGGGTCCTTAAAAAGGAGCCACTCTTGCAGCTATGCAGGGAGAAAGGAACGGGGGTTTTTGATACAACAAACAGGAGCTGCTGCAGCAGTCGTGCAAAGAGAACCAGGCTTCTTTCACCAAAGCAGAACTGGGTAGGGAGAGTGGCAGTTCTTCAATTGGCCAAAAGGAACACTGCTGCACAACAGATCAATGGATGAGGGGCAGCACATGTGGCCATTGCTGTACATGCCAGATGCATTTGGGGGTGGGGTGGGGTTGCTTTGGCTCTGCTGCTCCATTCCTGGGGCAGCTATCCAGGGAGCTGTCCAAATGGACCTATACCTGGGTGGAAGCAGACCAATGCCAGTTGGGACAGGGATCAGATCACTAGGTAAATGCCAGTCGGAGTCAGGCAGTAAAAGTAGCTTGACAGAAAGATCTGGAAAGGCAAAATGGGCAGTTCAACTGGAAGATAGTAAGGCCCCACAGATACCAGAGGAAGGGGTAAGGTATGAAAACATGGATTACACACCAGAGAGAAGATCAAGAAAAGCATTAATTACATAGGACCTTAAAGGTAATGCTGATGGTGTTTTAATTTGATCTAAAAGACACTATTTGCGCCGTGATATGGGAGTTGCGCTAATCAACTGACAGAGTTGAGGTCAGAGAAACAATATTTTCCCCTCAGAGCCCCATGGAAAAACTCATGTTCTATTATTTTTAACAGCAGATAATTAAATAGGATATTCACCCTGAAAGGAAAGGGGAGCATCTAATTTAAACAGGTCCATGACATTAGGTAGAATTTCCAATTTCTCCACTCCTTAGCCTCCTCCGAGTATTAGATAATGCATACCCACCTATACTGGGTATGTGTCACAAAGACTGAGAGTCTGTACTAAATAGCTTGGAAGCAATAAATCCTAGGTGAGAGCTGTTTGCAATATTAACATCCAGCATTCCTGACAAGCTAAAAAGAAAGGCCCAGAATTAAATGGGCTTCAGAGGCTGAACTACCCTAATCACCCCTATGGGCAGCAGAAGGCCATAACATGAAAGAGTAAGTGAAACTTAAGTGATGTATAGGCCTCGTACTGGCCCTTTGTTCAGGGATAAATATTATCCTCAGAGTGATGATATCTTGAAGTGTTGACACATACTGGTGGAGCATGAGATAGGATGGGAGACATGGTGGAGGGAAAATTGGAATGCTACCACCTATGCTGAATCTGTTCTGCAATTTCCTGAATTGTCAAAGCTGATGTTTTCTACCACTATTCAAGCCATTACTGAACACAAATTTAAAAAGTAAATAAGTTCCAAGTTCCTTAACAAAGCAGAAACCTGGTTTTATGCTCCCAAACTATCAATTTTTGTTATTTTTTAAATGACATTGTGATTAGAGGACTACAGTGGCAGAATCTGGCCTAATGTACATAGTCAGGTACCAAAATCAAAGGTACAGGTAGAACCTCTCTAGTCAGACACCCTTGGGATCTGACCAGTGCTGAAGCAGAGAATTTGCAGGCCCACTGCACTTCCACTGCTTACTGGGCTCCTAGAAGGTATTTAAGGATCAATTTGAGCTAAACAACGGCATAGAACACCGAAAACCAGGATTGGTGGCTGTAAACAAACATTATGGGACTGTGGGAAAGTTGGCCATACCCATGATAAGTGGACATCCGGCTAACTAAAATCATGCTGGACCATGGATATTGCTGGACCAGAGTGTACTGGATTAGAGATGTTCAACCTGTAGGAGCAGTCACTGCAAATAACTACACTTGCTTGTGATACTATACACTCTTGCTCCAGTTTTTAAAAATGGTGTAACTGATTTTTTAATAAATAAAAAGTTAGGAAGCCTAAATGTCGCCAAGCTGTGCACTGATGATGGGTTGGATTCTTAATTAGGTAGTGAGATAGTTCCCATAGGTATGCCCATAATTAATAAAATACAATATGTAGGACATATCTCAGCTTGCCATTATTGAATATATCTATTTAAATTTAATAATTTCCAGGGATGACAATTTATGACAAACAAAAGGACACTGATATGGACTGATGCTGTGAATCGAGATGGCTAACCAAAAACAAAGAGAAGAGTTTATGGATATAAATAAATAAAGCAATCAATCTCAAATAAAGGGACAGTTCTCTTGTGAAGTCCACAACAGAGAACCTCAACATCTGGAGTAAAGTGTACGCATTGGTAAGGCCATGAACAGTCTTTATCCTAAATTGCTGAGTCAACACAGTCTGTATTCTGACATCAGACAAGATGTGTGTATTCTATGGATCCTCAGACCTTTCATCTCAAAAATGAAATGGATGTAATTTAATCTATATAATTGCTGGAATAAACCATTTTGAGCATCCTTAAAATATATGTCCAATAGGGAACTTCCCCAATAGGGAACTAGGAAACTAGGACTTACGGAGACCCATAAACCATTGACTGCTTTACCTTAACCAATATATTTAGTTGGTATAAACTGACACAGCTTAATTTATTACAATGGAGTCAATTTATGCAATAGTTTATTTTTGCTATCTATGACAAAAAAAGGATAATATTCTCCATGTATTAGGACAGACTATTACTATGGTCTTTTTTCTTTTTCAAAAAGGGTAGAATTGGGTATTTAAAACAATTAAATCTTAACTTCTATCATTTATTTATAACCAAATAATCACCTTAAAGATGCTCTGCCCATATGGAGTATTACCTGTTTACTGTCTTCTCATTAAACTATTATGAAAATCTGTGTACATGCTACAGCATCAGAGCAAAAGAACAACCGGTTGCACTTCACAATGAAAGCCAGTTATTTTTATATTATTGAACCTATCTCTGTTCTTAAGCCATTAAGCGCTTCTCTCTCCTTCCCCACAGGTCATCACCTAAAACATTTATAATTCATCCTGTATATTAACCAGGAATATTCTGCTGAACTCTCCACTGCTCGCGGCACTTGGCTTGATGACTGTGTAGTTCATCAATTGCACAGCTTTAAGGTTAGACTGGCTTTGAATACTTCCCCCATGGGCACTGTTATTATATGTTAACAATGCTCATTACTACTTTGAGGATAAACTAAAAATGAAATCTTGTTCTATTAATAAGGGCAATGAGAATGAGATTTAATAGCAATTTTTAAAAGATTTGAAAATATAGACTTTAGAAATTATATATGTGATTTTATAATACCATACTAGGATTAAAATACTTTTTATTTGTGAGGTGTTGAGGTAAATATCTTCTCTCAA